GTATACACCATATGAATATCGTTTTCTATTACTTTTAAGACAATTACGACAAACATTAACAATTTAGGAAAAAAACTTTTCAAAAAAAAAATTTCGCAGACCTGTGTTATTATTGTTTATAATCCGTCCTAATAGCACTACCCGATTTCATTAAAAGATTAGAGTTTATTTCACGATCAGTTCAATAACTAAAACAGCTCTTACAAAAAATGGTATTTAAAAAAAATTAATCGCGTGAGTAGGTGGCTTGTTTGGACAGGGGCGGAAGTTTTATAACATTAAATAAATATGAGGGACCGCAGGGTGAATCGATTTTTTAAGTAGGGATTTTAATAAAATCCTATATATTGTTCTATGTACCTATATGTATTTTATGTAAATATACGTGGGATGTATTAGGTTCTGAAAATAGGTAGGTACTACGAGTGGAGTTTAACTACGGAAAACTCTTGTTATTAAATTTATAAAACTGGAGCAGCTCATTAGACATTCTTAGATGGTATGTAGTATAAGCATTAGTTTTGAGTGGTAAAGTTCATTAAAAAAATATATTACGACTTGAAGACTGTTTCAAGAACGGACTACAAACGTTCGTCTGCTCATCGCGTTCATTTTTATGCCTCGTCCTAACGTTTCTTCCATAATAGCTGTTATAATTACGAGGATGTCAAATAAATTAGTCTAAGTTTCGTAAAAATGGCGCTTGGGCCGTAAAAAGGCGATACTCATTCTCACGTAGAAGAGCTACATCAGCACGAATCCGCGGCTCAACATGCCGTGAGCCATCCACATTAAGCGCCACTAGCCAGATTATAAAGCTGTAAAACCCTATTTCCATAATCACCTTCTGTTATAATCTGCCCCGATCGCATTTTCGCTTTGTGACGGAAAAACTGAGCCAAATTAAAATTTCTCCATTTTAGACATTACATTCAGTACACCTACCTATACATACCATCGCGAAAAGTAGTTGCGAATTTTTCATTACTCCATTTAAAAGCTAATGCAAAAGCTTTTTATTATGACACATACAAATATCAACGTCAGTTAATATAAGTACATCTTTTGTCGGAGTTTGTGAACGCCAACAGTAAATGACATTAATATATTAGTGTGCACTAATTTAACTGGAGGATGTGGATTTAAATAATAAAAAGAAAATAATGGGAAGTGAAATTGACGAACACATTCCATTTACCAGTTAACCCAAACGGACACCAGATTGGAGATTTCGAAAATGTTTTAGTATACTTTAATGGAAATTTATAACGATGCCTCAATTTTGTGTCAAACCAGCTTCACCACTCAAACTTATTGGTTCTCGAACATTCCAGAAAGTTCTCGATTCGCCCGACCCAGTTCACTTTTGAACATTCTGCTTGAGGAAAATCCTAAAAATTCGAGAACATTCTAGCTAGGCACCATCCCAGAAACATTCAAGAACATCTTTCACTTATTCTAAAAGGGTGTAGGGTGGCCAGTGATCAATCTACAAACCCAAATGCACACCAAACTGAACAAATATTGAACTTAAGGAAAAAGAAATTTCAAAAAGTCTTTAGAATACTTTGACCGAAAAATATTGTATCAGAATCTAACCCTAACCCCACCTCTATTACATAATGGTTCTCGAACATTCCAGAACATTCTCGATTCTTTCGATTCAGTTCATTTTAGTACAATCCCAGAGACAATAAAGAACATTCTAGTACATTCCCATTTATTCTACACTGGTGATTAATATCCGGTGATGAACCCACAAACCCCTTCTTACCGCACCGAACAACTTCAACAGAGACTTGTCTTTGTTCATAACTGAAGTCTATTATTATCATCTATTGTTCAAACGTATAGTTTTATAGAGTTGACGAAATTTTGTGTCACTCATTCTTATCATCAATGCCATTATGAGACATGACCATTTACGACTGTTTCGGTGGAACGACGTGGCTGTAACTTTTACCCTTGCAATCGCCACAACAAGCCCAACATAACAACATGCATTCTGCTGTAAAGACATGTACACCATTTATTTGGTTCGAAAGCGTATCGCGTAACAGGAACGTAGCAGCTAACCACGGTTAATGTCGAAACCAGAACATCGCTTTCGGGAGATTGAGGACGCGACTCGGTATCGTGCCGAAGCCATTTAACTTGTTTCACATTGCTAGGTCATCGGCATAAACTTGTACCTATTTGAAGCAATAAATAACGTTGATTCATGATGTCAACAATGGTTCAGTACAGGTTCAAAAGCCAATATTAATTAGCGGGACGTATGTGTCGAGGAAGTTACCGCCACATATACACCTTTTACCGCCCCCAATCAACCCCTCCTCGCCATTCGCATGTTTGCAGCGTATGTATAAACCTATAAATCTACCTCAATTGTGATGCAACAATTACGATGAACTATTTGAAAAAACCGCATTTTCTCAAGTCGCGTATTTTACTTTCCTACTGATCTAGTTGTTCACCAAAGGTGATGCTGCCTGTTTGGTGGGATTTTAAAGGAATCGTTTTTTTTTTGAGGTTTTACCAGATAACACAACGATGAATTCGGAAGTCTAATGTCATCAGCTGGACAAACTGAATGATGCACTTCAACAGAAAAGGTCAGAACTAATCAACAGGAAAGGTGTAGTGTTTCACCAAGACAACGCGAGACCTCACACAAGTTTGGTCACTTGCCAAAAGCTTTTACAGCTTGAATGGGATACAATGCTACACCCACCATATTCTCCAGACCTGGCACCATCGGATTATTATTTGTTCCGGTCACTCCAAAATTTTTTAGACGGTAAAACCTTCACCTCAAATGAGGAGGTCAAAAACCTCCTCGATCAGTTTTTTGCCAGCAAAGACCAAAAATTTTACGAGCGTGGAATTATGCTACTACCAGAAAGATGGCAAAAGGTGTTGGACCAGAACGGTCAATATATAATTTAATAAAGTATTTGTTTATTATACGAAAACTGTCTTTCATTTCCACAAAAAAAAACGAAATGACTTTCCGAACAACCCTATATTTGAAAAAACCGCATTTTCTCAAGTCGCGTATTTTACTTTTTGATCTAGTTGTTCACCATTCAATACAAAATGCAGTGGTTAGGTATTTCTTGCTATTTTAGAACAGGGGTCGGCAAGTAATTTTAGATGGGGTTTTGGAAAATTTTTATGGAGGTCAAAAAGAAAACACTTATTGACTTCCGCGGTTTCGTCAGTTGTCATTCGCTACCCTAGAATCTTGTGGCAGCAAGCATTATTTTCTATTTTTGATAATTATCCACAATTTTAGAAAACGAAATAAGTACTTGATGAGAAAATAAGAAGAAAAAGTTTCGTATGCAAGAAATTTCCCTCCACCCTTCGCCTTGACATATTTTGACGTTATTTTTATTCTCAGTCTTCCCCTATCCCATTTTGCATTTGCTTTTTGGTGTAATTAATAGTTATTTCATTTGTATCACATTTAAAAACTGAATTCTGCATTACTAAAATAATGCTATAGAGTTGTCAAACATTAATCCTGAAGCTCCCAAAACGTCCTTGCATGGTGCCCTTTTAAATCTTCTTTCTAAAGTTAAAACTTCATTCATACAAACGAGCTCGTTACGAAATGAAAAGTTACAAAACAAGAGAAATGGAAAGCCGCAAAGTTTCTGCTCCATTGGATAATTAATGTGATACCTGTTTAAGTCCTATTTTTTTTTTAAAGTACTTCTAAAACCCCAAAACGAAAACATGGCACTTTCAGAAGTTTGGGTCTGGATTAAGTAGCTCTAAAAAGTTTAGAAAGGCGCGTTTCGCAGTCGGAAATCTCAAGCCAAATTATTCAGGATATCTGAGAAAATGGCACCAAATTTTCCAGGGCATTAAGCTGCGCTCTAAGCTTTTAATTTTATTGAAAGATAATTTAACGGAAAGCCGATTTTTTGAAATTATTTCTTTTCATTGACGAAAATGCATTAGTGATAAGCAAAATTGGACCAAGACTAGGAGTACTTGAGTAAGACTAAGACCGAATAAGCAAGACTAAGACTAGTACCAAGACTGGGATATTTTTTATAATTTGTTGTGAAATAGGTTTTGGATATTTATTTAACTAAGTAATTTTAATTACTAAGTTATAAAAATAAGTCGGTATTTAAGCTGATTTTGCAAAATCCCTTTGATTTGTTGATTTGACTGGAAAAAAAAACAAATGTTTATATTATCATCGTATTTCAAGAAATCTGTTAAGGATGACATGTTTCCTTTCAGAAAATTTGAGAAGATTACAAGGAATCATACAATAATCGATCAATTTTCTTAATTTCCTAAATAAGTAAACCAGAACCCCCTTTCTTTGGCATTGATTAGGTACTTCTGTTTTCTTTTTAGTCTGCAATGCGACAGTCTGCTTAGCATCTTCGTTAGAAATACTGCGTGATACGAGATTTTGAACGACAGTGTTTTATGGTCGAATTCGACTTATAAATCGGCGGAATCGTAGCGATAACGAAAAACAAACTTTTTAATACCCGAAAGAGTATCACGAAGATGACAAAATAGCAACGTCGATGGTATAAATTGGATGTTATCGGAAAAACGTACTGTTTCACGGTACGAACAAAACGAATGGCGTACCATTTCCAATTTCCTTTTTTCAACGTTTCTTCGATTACGTTGTGTCGACCATGCGACGCATCGAAAAATGGAAATCGTTTTTCGCGTAATTATTCATCATCTATACCTTTATCCCAGCAAGGGATCAAGAAATATGAGCCCTCTAAAACTATATTTCTTCTCTTGAAAATATTAAATCCAATTTACTCATTTAATCATTTAACCCAAAGGAAAATTACGTTTGTTCAGGAATGACATATCATGTATCACAGTCATACCAGCTGTATCTTAGAAAAAATAAATTGAAATATAATTCTATTCTCTCGAGAATTTTTCTCTTTCTTATATTGGATCCGACTTCGGGAAATTTAACTTTTACTTTTTTGTTTCAGGTTTTGGATTTGTCACATTTCAAAGTGAAGACGTAGTAGACAAAGTTTGTGAAATTCACTTTCATGAAATAAACAACAAAATGGTAAGTTCAGTAGTTATTATATAAAAACTAGCTGTACAATTATTGATAAATAAAATAAAATTGAAAATAATGTCAAAAACAATACCATTCTGCTACATCTGACTTTGCAACAAACTTTATTGATAACAAATTGCAATAAAAGATGAAAAGCGTCGGTGTTGGCTTGATAAACTGTTTTTGCTTCCATACTATCTGGCTATGATTTTGACATTATGTATAAATAGGGTGTGAAATTCGGCCCAGTTATGAATAGTAAAATCAGCAACGAATTAAAATTTTATAAAGTAAACTAATTTATACCTTAAAGTTTCTAACAGAAGATAATATTATAAAACACAATGAATTTCGCAAGATACTTTATAAAGGAGATTGATAGCATATATACTAAATTAATACTTTAATTTGATGAGTACAATTATTCATCATGTGTCGACTTAGAGTTCGCGTTGACGTTCGCGACTTCCCATAAAGTTACGAGATGAATGCCACTTTTTAAAAGAAAAAGATATAAGATTTATTATCATTTCACCGTAAATGACACTTCGGCCGTGCTATCGTACCTTAAAATTCGTTAGATTTTAGTGCCACATCACCGTTAAAGATAGCAGTTTGTAAACGGGTATTATAAATTTCACAATTTTTCAAAGCTAATAGGTAGGACCGTATCATTATGCGTCGGTCTCGCAGCCCATGCTAGGTATCACTCAAACGAAATAGTTCATTTAAGGATGTAGTGATTGTTGAAGGGCCATTTCAAAAATTCATGGTCATCCGTGTTTCTGTACGCGCGTAAAAAGATAAAGGCCGCGCCTTGTTAGAGCGAAACGAAATTTGTCGTTGCGAAACGGTCCCATTACGCGAGATTTATCTCGGAATACGTGACCAGCCATCTATCATAAGGAGAACAGAGGAGAAGTCATTGTTAACTGCAAAGATTTCTCGCCTTCACTCCCTACATCGCACTCTTCCGTGTGCTGCTTGTTGAAAGGAATAAATTCGTACATTTTCCAACATATATGGGAACATACATAAGTATATCTATCTATCTCCTGACCTTTCGTCTTCATTAGATACTTTCTCACCTAGACCCTAGACAGTATGGAGAATTTATTGCTCCCTTCTGTATCACCGATAAGCCATTGGTAAACTAATGCTTAAAATTACAACAATTACTTATTGAAAACAAACATTGAGAATTGCTTCATCATAAGGTTGTCAGTCCTAAGACTGGAAGGACACGCACCTCCACTCTTTCCTATCCTGGGCTAATCTTCGCATTTTCCTAAAACTAGAACAACCCACATCCTTAACTATTTGCGAACAGTAATATGTCTCTGATTAGACCTTCATATCTGAGAAGGTGTCCTACTGACCTATCTCCCCTATTTCTTATTAACTTCCATAGAGTCTTCTGTTCTCTTATTCTTTCTAATACCTCTTTATTTCTAACCTTCTCTGTCCAGGATATCCTCATCATTCGTCTGTAACACTACATTTCGAACGCTTCTAACTTTTTCTTTTCCACCGCCCCCACTGTACATGTTTCGCACCCGTAAAGCGCCGCGCTCCAAACATACACTTTTAACAACCTTTTTCGAATTTCTAAATTAACCGTTCGCAAGCATACAAGTGACTTCTTTTTATTGAAGGCGACGCGACCTTGCGCTATCCTCTGCTTTATATCCCTACTACTCCTCGCGTCCTGACTTATCTGACTTCCTAAATACCTAAGATCGGCCACTTCTTCTAATGTTTCGTCTCCTACCTTTTTCTCCCTTTGCATACCAGTCCTTTGCGTCCCTGGACACACTTTATCCTTTGGAAGAATAAAATATTTATTTCTAGAATTTTTTTATGTATGTCGGTTGACGCCCCTTGCAGCTTGGTATCCCGATGTGCAGCCCGAATTACCCTTTCTTCTGTGATGCTGGCACCAGCTGTATGATACAAAATTATTAATACTAACATATAGTGAATAATTAGGACATCTTTAAAAAGGCTAAATATCCTTTTATGAAGGAAATTTTCATTTCGACTGTTGAAATGCCATCTCCACTAAGCCTTTTGTTTGTAACAATGAATGTCCCGAAAAATTATGCAGGTCGGGTCTTCCGTTTCGTACACATACAATCAATCGTTCCTATTGGAAAAGGACGGTCGCGCTAATAGTGTCGGCAATATCTTTTGTTGTTGAGAGAATAGAGACTGAATCTCGCAAAAGGAATGACAGTGGAACAAGGGTGAGTCTACCTTCTAATTGGCGAGGTTGTTAATCTTCCCTGTCTAGCGAGAAGGAGATGAATTAGCCGAGAATAGACCACCTCTGACGTGCACTGTTCCCGCTTTTCCAGAAGAAAATACCGAAGCGGTTTTGTCGGTCAGTTTCTTAGACTCTCACCCCTTCCCCCTCTCTCCCAATCACTCCCTCCCCTCTCTTTCTCTTCGTCTTTGCGATTCTTTTCCTATCGAAAATAAGCTCTCTTAACTTTTAATGCACAAACAAAGTTTTCTAAAGAAATGAAATATTGCTTTTGTGATATTTTTATAGGCATGACTAACCGTTCGTAACTTGATCTCGAACGTTTTCCGTACAGGGTACATATACACAAACATACCAACGCTTTCATATTAAGTAAGAAATTCAGTATTATTCGAAGGCTTTTAAGAGAGGTTGAAGTATATAAATACATTCTGTAAAACATTTCCTTGGTTATCATCATCATTATTTTTTTGAGGATTCAATTATTTTCTTAATTATTTCTGAAGGGAAGGTTTACCCATTTTCTGTGAAGTGGCTTCGTTTAATGATTGACATATTTTCTTTAAATCTCTATCAACTATTTGAAAAGCGTAACTTTTTTATCATTAATTGACAGATACATCGATATGAGCGGAGTGTTTGTAGGAGTAAAATGAGAAGAGACTGATTTCATGTCGAAAATAATTATTAAAGTTTTCGCCATGTGTGTGTGAAAATACGGTAAGACATGAGACGACGCGCTATATGGTGTGATGTGGATGCGATGCAAACAAGTCTCGAAGCCGTCAGGTCATAAATTCTAGGGAAAAAAAGAAAATTGGACCCATTCACCCGGATCGGAATTACGGCCGGATCGCGGCTTTCCAATTATTTTCGCCAATTTCGAAACGTCATTAATATGGTTGAATTAAATTAATGGCATGAGGGTGAACGGAATGGGGGATGCTGGGGGATGCGCGGGACCGGAACACCACACTACGACTTCTACGATGACAGCGAAAACGAGCTCTTAACTAGGTTAGACTTTGGGATTGATATCGGAGACGGCCAGGAACTTGAAAACACCCTTCCTTTTTATCCCTTATAAGTATGTGTGTACTACTGAAATGCAAACTTCGTCTAGACTCCACATAAAATTAATACGTAAAATCAGTCAGTTTGACATGATATCTACTAGGATTTTATTTTGATCGTGTTTAAGTAATTTTTCAGTTGATAATAAAGTATTTCGCTTTGACTGCTCATTTAATCATTATCATCGTCATCATTACTATATGATTGTCAGCCCTAAGAGTCTTTCCTATCCTGTGCCAATCTTCGAATTTTCCTGAAACTAGAACATCTGATATCTCCATTTGTTTGCTTAGATTAATCTAATCTAGGCTTTCTTTAGATCCTAAATTTGTTTGAAGAAATTAAAGGGCAAAATATATTTCCTATATATATTCGATAGTAACTTCAATAAACAGTGAAAGCTTGCAAAAAATCTATTATTGTTTCTAGAAAAAATAAACGTTTTATCTCCTCTATGCGATTTCATTGGACTAATTGTAGTCGTACATCGCTGTGTCGTAACAAATAGGGATTCCGATCATGACATTTAGATAGCGTACGCATTCGTGGATGAAAATAGAAGAATCAACGCATCAAGATATATATCGCAGCTACTACATATAGCTGGATTTGTCGTAAACTCGGCAACGAATATATTATGGGGGTAGAATCTAACACCATTCAGATAAAATTCTTGGAAGACTTGTGTCGTTACCTTATTATCCTTTCGTCCATCGCTTTTGAATTGAAAGGATGTTTTAATAAGTATCTATCTACATTCTTCCTTATGGTACGAAAAGAATTGAATAAAGAAAGTGAAATTCACTAAAGTGAGTAATTTTTATTGTTATTTAACAACCAATAGATGTACCTTCCACTTTAGCGATAACAAAATTAGCCAAGAATTGCAAAAGTATAACCAATTTTTATTGATGTGCAATTGAAATTATATTATCTGATTATATGAATGACAATTACAAAAAAGGAAATGTGTACTGGGATACATGGTAGAAGTGAAACTTCAGCGGACAAGTGGAAAAACGAATGGCAACGGACAAGTGGGAAAACGAATCGCAACAAAATTTTTACTTCAAGTTTTACCGGCAGATTGTTAATGTACTTGTCCAATTTGAAAACCTGCCCGTAAAACTTGAAGTAAAAATTTTGTTGCGATTCGTTTTTCCACTTGTCCGTTGAAGTTTCACTTCTACTATGTGTTCCAGTACACATTTCGTTTTCACAGGTTTATTGCAAAATATGATTTGGTTTTTACACAAACCGCAAATAGAGGCAATGATGCCCAGCCACGTGAAGAGCAGAGGTAAGAAAACAACAGCTGAGCACAGCACACGCCGCCTGGACTCTAGCGGACTCCCCGTACTCCACGCGGCTTCGCATTATATCGACCTAATACAACTGTTGTCCTATCTCCACCGACGCCAGCGTTTCTCTTCCTCGGCTGCTGCCGCCTCTCCCCACGCGATATCCCGTCTACCCCTTCCACGCGGCCGTAACGCTTTTTCGTAACAGAAAAAATCGTAATACCCCGTATATACTCAATAAATTAATCGATGATTTGCGAAATCCCAAACGGGCTAGATGTGCGTTAATTCTTTTATCGTTTTACAAAACAGTACAGGGCAGATATGCCCTTGTGGCCCATGCGCCACCCGTTACTGCTGTTACTTCGTGTTATTTCTTTCAATTGGTAGGTTAAACAAATCTAACATTCGTAATATGGATTCCCATTTCATTTTGAACGCGGTCTAGCAAAATGACTCAGCATCCTTTTGCTTCTACTTAAGTCTTACAAATTGCCGTGTTGCAAAATTGTCCGGGCGCCATCTGGAACTGAATGCAACACTTTTCAAGGGAACTAAGTACTTTCTTGGCGAGAATTCTTCCTCGTAAACTGTATGCCAGACTTAATTTCGGAGGAATGTGTCACCCTGACTGTACTTTTGCAGTTTTAATTAAGCGACAGAGGGACCGTATTCGAATATGCTGGACATTTTGTGGTCGTCTGCTGCATAAGACATTCTGGCCGCCGACCTATTCATGCTGCATTTAATAGCGGTACAATAGTCGAAATTACCGGGAAAACTAAATTAATCTTACTGCAATTAAATGGATATATTCCTGTTTCGATGCACATGTTCGCCAAACAACAAGTGTTAAATCGTACTTAAAGCCATAAGCGCACGTTCTGGAAAACGTTCCAATTTGAGAATGAATCGGGACAACTTAATCTTTAACACAATTTTCTTTTATCTAATACGACGACGAAACTCCGAACCGTAAACATGTCAGTTGTTACTAAGGAATAATAATCTAGCATGATTTGTGAAACACATTTTACGACTTTCCAGCACTTTTATGTCTTACCTTTAGGGGGATGAATTTTACGAACTTTGCGGAGTGATTTAAAAAATGATTTCATGTAGTAAACGCGACTATGAAGACTTTTACTGAGCCTGAAGATCAAAAAGGACGCAGAAAAAATTTAAAATATCTTGAAATAAAACGGAAATTGTACTGAACAAAAATTTAACATTCTTCTGTTTGTTTCAGGTGGAATGCAAAAAGGCCCAGCCGAAAGAAGTGATGCTTCCCGCCAACTTGGCCAAGACAAGAGCCGCAGGCCGCGGCGCATACGGTGAGTTGCTCATGCTTCACCACCACCACAATCCGCATCACCACCAACCGCACCATCACCATCATGCGGCAGCTCAGTCGGCCGCAGCTGCTGCAACTTCCGCGCTCCGCTACGCTCCCTATCAGATACCCGTTAGCTTGGGTGCGGCAACTATACCCGTTGCGGCTATAGCTGTCGCTCCCACTGCGGCCGCACCCTTACACTATGCGCAAGCCGTGTACGACGTGACGGGGTGCAAGCGGGTGTTGGCCGCTCCCGCGACAACCCTTCGGCCCATTGCACAAACACGAGCTGCCACCGCTGGCCCTACGCTCACTTACAGTATGAGCGACCTTTTGGGGGTGCAAAGTCTTGAAATACCCACCATTTACACGAATACTCTTCCTGCGCCCGGTTTAGGACTGTGACCCGTTATTACCCAACTTACACGACCTCAATAATGAAAGATTCTAAACATTTAACTAAAAACTCTTATCATGCATATCTTTAAATTCACTTAAAAATAATCTTATTGTTTCTTGCTTTAGTTTCCAGTTTCAAATAGTGTTCAAATTTGCTATTTTAAAAGTACAATTATCGCTTTCAATTAAAACTTTTGTCGACATTAAATGTGTTGGTAATCTACTTTGAAATCAACATTTGTTGAAAGTTTATGTAATTTTGGCAACTCTTCTAATTGTTTTTCTAGAAAATCCCTGTCACGTCATACCCTATTTACAAGTATATTTTGGTTATGATTGATGCTTCGAATGCTTCAATCAAAGTTAATTAATTTGTTTGCTTGAATTAAAACGATCGGAACCTTGGCATAAAAAATTTCTCATACGAGAACCTCTTAATGAACATATCCTAAATACTATGTCTTTTTATTACTATTAGCAGCCTTAATTTGTCGGTTTCAGTTGTAGATGTTTTTCTAATGAATTACTACACTCAAATTCAAACACGGGATCAGGGAAATCGCTGTGATTAGCTGAAAACGTAGTTTTGCAGCAAACCTTTAGCTTTTTTACATGTAGAGTAGCTAGGTTTCCATTTTTATAGCGAGTTTTTAACTAAAACCGTACAATTGAATTTTGAAGTTTCAACGACTTAATAATTCCTATAAACTTAACAGAACCCCGCAGTATTATGATTTTAAGTCAACAAAAAATACACTATTTAATTTTTACTTTCAACATTACTCACCCTTGCAGTAATATAGGGCATTTTCAAAAAAATCTTAACAGTGAGTTCATTGTCAAATGAAGTCCTTTGGTGAATGCCTTTCAGGTTTTACCAACTACTGAAATATACTATACAATAACTAACGGAGTTGCAAACGTGAAATTCGATGAGCGCAGAGCGCACCTCTTGCTCCCAGCTAAAATAAATGGCAGCGTCGTTTGGTGCGATGAATGTGAAGCCTTCAATTATCTTATGCGGCAATACGGAGTTAATTGACGGAATTCAAATGGCCCTGCCACCCCGGTTAAATAAATTAAATGTAGTGTCAGCACTGTCGACACTACAATGCATTTTCTCTAATAACTCAGCGTCGAATCACGCAAATTAGTCCCATTTCGAAAGGAAAAAAGAAAAACGCAAGCGCCAACATACGCTTTCCGTTTATTGCAAACCTCGTCACGTCGAAACCACTACTAAAACCCGTTTCCACTTTAGAATTGTTAAATAATGTAATTTATTCGATTAGTTGTTGTAATTTTACGAGGTTGATTTTGTCAAAAACTACTAAGAACCAATTTCGATCTGCTTTGGCTTTCATGAAATTTCATCTATCTTGTGAAACCGTTTCTAACTATAAATTAGACTCTCTTTTATTGTTTATTAAAAATGAAAAGGCGAACGGTGGAACGGCAGTTTTAAGAAGAACTTTAACATACAAAATTAACCAATTAAGAGTAGAAGTCTCCATTTACCATGAAAATTGACTTTAATGAAAAAAAAAATAAATCGAAATCCGTTCAGGGCTGACGTATTTTAACGGAAAAATGTAATTATTGTATGAGTGATATATTTGATGAAATGGCAAGTGAAATTTTGAAGGATTTCATTGCCCGTTGCTAATTATTCCATAAACATAATAAATTATTACAAATTTGAGTAGAAATGTCCCTTAATAGTTGTAGTTATTAAGCTAAGCTTTTTCCCGATTAGCCCATAAAACGCTTTTTTTGCTTTAGTACAGTTCTGACTACAGCTGCCGTCACCGTTCTGTAAGTACGACCCCCGGACCAAGGTCCTGTTCAAAAAATATTAGGTACTTAGGTAACGACAATAAGTTAGGTTAGGATTGCTTAGGAGTGATTAGAGATTTTCTTTTTCTTTTTTCATTTCACGAAAGCTCGAGGCAGTAGTGGCTCGTTTTCAGGTACTACAAGCCTTCCTCACCCATTTCATTGGTCGTTTGTTGGATTTCGACCTGGCTACGTTTATGTTCGTGTTCCATAACAAAAAGGTGCGGCCAGAAAACAAAAAAAAACTGTATAGATTAGGATTTGATAATGTAGGAAATGTGGAACTCAACATGAAAAACGTTAGAATACGGTCCTGTTTAATTTGCGTTGGTGGCGGCTTGTGAACACAAGTAAAGCAAAAAATTAACGAAATTAATTCTTATCATCATCATCATAAGGTCGTCAGTCCTAAGACTGGTTGGACACGCACCTCCACTCTTTCCTATGCTGAGCTAAACTTCGCATTTCCCTAAAACTAGAACAACCCACATCCTTAACTGTTTGCGAACAGTAATCTAATCTAGGTCTACCTCTACCCCTCCTAACTCCTCTTTGTGCCTCTAATATGTCTCTGACTAGACCTTAATGCCTAAGAAGGTGTCCTACCAACCTATCTCGCCTATTTTT